CATGGGCGGCAGGGGGCAGGGTGGGAGGGAGGGCGAGTAGCAAGCAGCTGGATGCAGAGCTGCTGCTCTGCCCCACTCCGTGCTGCTGCTGCTCCGCCCCACTCCGTGCTGCTGCTGCTCCGCCCCGCTCCGTGGGACCATGCCAAAGCACGGGGCCCAGGGTGGTTGCCCCGATTTGCACCCCCAGGGATGGCCCTGACCCCAGCCTTGGTTACAGCCAACACCCAATGCTTCTGGGGGAAGTAAAACACCCCCAAGCCTTCCTGCCATTTGTAGCAAAAGGAGGGGAAAAAATTCCTTCCCAGCCCCATTTGGCAACCAGTGAAGCCTAGAACCATGGGAAATACACATAGTGGAGCATAGGCGATCCTAGATCATCCCTGATCAATGCTTGCCTAACCTCTTCTTGAATACCTCCAGTGACGGGAATTCCAGTTTCCCTAGGCAGTCTATTCCACTGCTTCACTATTCTAACAGCAAAGAAGTTCTTCCTGATATCTAACCTGAATCTACCTTGCTGCAACTTTAGGCCATTGGTCCATATTTTGCTCTCTGCAGCAAGAGAGGAAAACTGTTTTCCCTCTTCTTTATGGAGCCTTTCAGATATTTGAGGACTGCTATCATGTCTCCTCTTAAGTGCCTTTTCCACAAAATGAACATACCTATTTCTTTCAACCTCTCCTCATATGCCTTGCCTTCCAAGCTCTTTATAATTTGTGTTGCCTGCCTCCAGACCCTCTCTAACTTCTCCATGTCCTTTTAAAATGTGGAACCCAAAACTCCAGACAAACCTATATAAGGCCTAACCAGTGCTGAGTAAGGAGGCACTCTCACATCCTGTGTCTTGCATGGCAAACTCGTATTGAATTTGATCCATCAAGACTCCTAGATCCTTCTCTGTAGTACTATCACCTAGCCAGGCACTACCCGTTTTGTATTTGTGTTTTTGATTATTCTTCCCAAGATATAGTTTCTTCCATTTGTAAGCACTGAACTGCTTCCTGTTAGTTCCAGCCCAGCTTTCCATCTGTCAAGTTACATTAGAACTGTGCTCCTGTCCTCCAAAGTATTTGCAGTCCTTTCCAGGCTAGTGTCATCTGCAAATTTGCTCAGGAAGGAAGTGAGAGATTTATTGGCTCATGCTAAAATAGGCTGTCAGATCAGAAGTAGCAGATGATGGAGCAGGAAAGATGTCTGCTTTTTCCAACAACAGAGAAGGCTTTAATATTCTGCAATATCAAATTTACTATGAAATTTAAATGAATAATAATAACTATAGCAGAAAAGCATTTTATCAGCAACATATTTTACATAGAACCATGCACCCAAAATATCACTGCAAGTGATCAATAAAAGATAAAAAGAAAATCTCTTCTATTTATTTTTTCATCCATTTTTCATGCCCAACGTTTTGCTGAACTATAAAAACTATCATGGTACAATACAGTTTTTTCTAAGCTGTTTTCTTAGTGAATGTTCCAAGCTAAGGAAAAAGGGAGAGGGAGTGTTTCACTGAACAATGTCATCAGCTGTGCAGATGGTGGCAGAGTAAGCCTGTAAAAAACATCTACCTTACCTGTTGTTATACAGTTGATGCTGGGATTCAAAACACTGGGGAGAAGTTGTCAAGGCACTTGGTGAATTACTCAAGTGTGGCTTTCCCAGTTGTTCCTAGAAAAAACAAAACATGTAAGGGAGGATGTTTGAAAGTGAGCAAAACTATACCCCTATTGGAATCAGTGGACAAGTCTACATGTGCATTAATGCACCGTAGTTACTGCACATTAAATTTAGTACCTGTAATAACAGGTACTAACTCAATGCAAATTAACCAGTGCACACCTTTTTAGTGATGCTAATGTGCAGTAGACTAGTTCTACTGTGCATTAGTGCAATAGCATGGCTTTTGCCATGACACGCTAATGTCCAGTAGAATTAGTCTACTGCACGTTTAGGGTCTCATGTAGACGAGCCCAATGGGAGTTTTAATAGTACCTTCAACTGTGACTAAGTTAGACCACTCAGGACTTTTAAAATCTTACCCCAAAATTAGTACCCACAAAATAACTTTTAATTCAGCTGCATTCTTCAACTGATCTTATCACTCAAACAAAAACTTATGGGACCATTGAAAGAAAGTGTTTAGGATTGGTATAAGAATTTAAAATCTCAGGTTTTCAAAGTATCAGCAGGTGTTGGCTGACCTGAGTTACTTAAGGAGCTTAGATCTATAGATAGGTGAAGGTTCAAGGTATCAAAGTCAATTATTTAGATCAGATTTTGAAATCTTCCCTTGATGAATCATGACAGGCTGAGTCCTGAGCCTCTCCCGGGGACAGAAAATATCCTATAGTAGGTATAGGGATTATACACAGCTCTCTGAAAAGTTATATTTGCAGGCAAGTACGGCTATTAAACCTTCCCTGTTGCCACCCACATAGTTAAAAGTGTTTTGACTTGACATATTTTATAACCAAAACTTACAATTAAGTTAGTTAAGTTGTGTTTTGTCATCATGTCACTTTAAAAAAGCTGTGGAAAGTTATTCAATACCTAACTGTATATTGTTTTCTGAAGTCTTGTTAATATTATTTCTTAGAACAAAAGGGAATACTGGCTGAACAAGTAAAAATGTATTTTAGGTTACATTTTTGTTCAAGGTGTAAATATTGTCTTTTAAATAACTATATACTGTTTGGATTCAGTAGAAACATAATTGCTGTGATGTGCTATGAAATTAGTTATGCCAAACAGACATGGCCTCAAATGTTTAGGGATGAGCATCTACTAGCAGACATAACAGGGTTCCCTTCCAAAATGTTACAGACACCACTATTTCCATCTTAATGAAAGTCTTGGAAGGGAAACCTTTCAGAAAAATGACAAAGAGAAAGAAAGCCTGTGAAAGAAATGGAGAAGACTATTTTTTTCCATTTTTTTTTTGCTCTTGTGATATCTTTGGTGAATGCAAAACCCTGTATCTTAGCTATTCTACTCTCACTTCTCACATTATTATTTTAAATTATTCAGTTATTAAATGCAGGATTTCTGCTTCTATAGATTTCCTAAACTTGGTGATAATGCTAGTCATGGACCTGGGCTACAGAACCAGAAGCTCTCCATTCTGAGCTGTGAGTAGATGAACCACTGGGGAACCTGCATATTCTGTAGTGCTACTAAAGTCACTGCAACCTAGAGATGTAAATAGTGATTAAATAAATATTCATTTAACTTGTTGTAATTAATTGTTAAACATGGTGGTGGTGCTGGGCTGCAGTCTGTGGCTCTGCGAAGTCATGGGGGGGATGGTGTTTAGCCCTGGGCCGGCGCTTGCCCTGCCCTGCCGTGCCGTGCCATAGAGGATGGGCTGCACTCACCCACCTAGAGCAGTTTGGGGGGGCTGGGGCCAAAGCAGTCCCACCAGGCAGGCAGCACAGCCCAGAGAGCCCGGGGGGGAGGGGGCAGCAGCCATCAGCTTGTAGCTTCTCAGGGGGGAGGTTACTTGTTTAACTCTTCACAACCCTACTGCAGTCATGGGAAGTTTTAGACCGGTTGCCTCTGCTGGACTTTGCTGGTGCGCTACTGCTGGACTTTGCTGGTATGGTGGCTGACATCTTCCAGTACATGAAAACAAGAGGTGTAACAAGTCAGCTGAGTGCCTAGGGTAGCTACAATGCAAGGAGGAAGTGGTGACATCCAGCTGATGCTGTGTTGCCAGTGCAATTGTGTGGCTCCAAGCAAATGCTATGCAACGCTCCACCCCACTCTCTGCCCCCCGCTTGGCCTCAGTTACACTACTGATGAAAACACATGTGGGCACATCTACATGAGATGCTTAACTTCACATTAGCATAGTTTACTGGGAAGTTAGCATGTGCATCTTCATATGCATATGCCTAGTTCACAGTAAATTTTCCTAATACTGAGTACATTTGCTACCTGCAGTCAGCTGTCTATGGACAGCTTTCCAATCTCTCAGAGTGACTTAGACAAATTGGAGGACTGGGACAAAAGGAATCTCATGAGGTTCAGCAAGGACAAGTGCAAAGTCCTGCACTTAGGATGGAACAATCCCATGCACTGGTACAGGCTGAAGGCTGACTGGGTAGGCAGCAGCTTTGCAGAAGAGGACCTGAGGGTTACAGTGGACAATAAACTGAATACGAGCCAGCAGTGTGCCCTTGTTACCAAAAAGACTGATGGCACACTGGGCTGCATGGATAGGTGTGTTGCCATGTCAAGGGAAGTGATTATTCCCCTCTATTCAGGATTGGTGGGGCAACATCTGGAGAACTGTGTTCAGTTTTGGGCACCCCACTACTGAAAGGATGTGGACAAATTGGAGAAAGTCCAGCAGAGGGTGAGGAGGCTGGGGGACATAACTTATGAGGAAAGACTGAGGGAGCTGGGCTTTTTTAGTCTAGACAAGAGGAGATTGAGAGGGGACTTAATAGCAGCCTTCAACTACCTGAAGGGGGTTCAAAAGAGGATGGAGCTGGACTGTTCTCAGCGGTGGAAGATGACAAAACAAAGAGCAACTATCTCAAGTTGCAGCAAGGGAAGTTTAGGTTAGATATTAGGAAGACTTTTCTCACTAGGAGGGTATTAAAACACTGGAACGGTTACCCAGAGGTGGTGGAATCTTCACTCCTGGAGGTTTTCAAAATGCAGCTAGACAAAGATTTGGCTGGGATGATCTAGTTGCAGATGGTCATGGTTTCAACAGGGGGTTGGACAAGATGACATCCTGAGGTCCATTCCAAACCTAACTTTCTATGATTCTATGAAATGCAAGTAGCAAATTTACTCATCATTAGTAATGGTGCCATAGCCCTTGTGTAGACACCTGACCGTCTACCAGGGGGCAGGAGATAGCTCCCTGCTCCTGGGAGCTGCCAGCTGCAAGGACAGGCTCCACCACAGGAACCCGGGCAGGGACTGTGTCCCCCTGCCCTGGCAGCAGGGAGCTCCAAGCCCCTTGCTCCCAGATCATGATCGGGAAGTGGGGGGTTCAGACTCTTATCTCCCAGTCTGAGTTCTCCAGTTGCAGGGCTCAGGCTGGAAGACACTTATCTGGCTCAGGCTGGGAGATAAGTATCTCCCAGCAACGGCCTGCAGTTGCAGATCCACTGCTGGAAGATAACAGTATTCCAGCCTGAGCCCCATGACCATGGAGCTGGCACTGGGAGCTCCTTGCTGGGTGTGTGTGGGCAGGGGACCTGTTTCCCACCCAGCTCCCCAAGCATGGAGCTGGTGGTGGAATAGGCTGGGGAACAAGCTCCCTAGCCCCTTCACTCTGCATGCCCTGATAGGGACAATGTCCGCCTGACCTGGCGGCAGGGAGGTTCCAGGCCCCGCTCCCCGATCACAATTGCAGAGCAGGGGCTGGGAGCTTGTTTCTAGACCCTGCTCTGCAATTGTGGAGCTGGGAACAGACTGGGAGCTTGTTCCCAGCCTCCACTCCATGACTGCAATTGTGATTGCGGAGCAGGAGCTGGAAGCTCCCTGCATAGAGACAGGGCTCTGCCCAGCCTGGAGCTGGCTGGGACCTGCCCCTGACTGGGACAGTTCCCAGCTTGTCCCAGGCTGCATGGGGAAGCAGTACAGCCTGAAGGTGCCTGGGAACTGTCCTGTTTTGGGCAGTCCATAGTCAGCTCTGGGCTGCACTATAGGTGCAGACTTCCCCATGCAGCCAGGGGCTGGCTGGGAACTGTCCACCAGTGGGGCAGCTAGGGGCAGGGGGCTGGGCCCTGCCCCTCCCCACCAGCTCTTTCCAAGCCCCGTGCCTCTGATCGTGGAGCCAGGGCCAGAAGCTCCCTGTTGCCGGGGCAGGGGGACGTTTTCCCTGCCCCAGCAGTAGTCTCCTGGCCTGGTGCTCCCTGCCAGCCTCTGGGCTAGCTTCCTGCCAGCCCCCGAGTTCCCCCTGCTGGTGGCAGAGGCCCATTGCAGGGCTGCAGGGACTTGGGAGCAAATCTTTTCCCTAATCCCCAAATGTATAAACACCTACCCAAAAACCCTTACTCTGTAGTCAGAGCCATCCCTAGGGGTGTGCGAGGCCCGGGGCATATTAGCCTGTGTGGCGAGCGGCCGGAGTGTGGAAGCCATTACAAAGACCTCTAAAAAAATCATCTGGAATTCCTAGGACGTGTTTCTCAGGCAGGATGTAAAAAAAAAAAAAAAAAAAAATAGAAGAAGAAACTGGAGACAAGATTAACATAAATTGCTTCTGAATTAAACAGAATGAGTTTATACCAAGATGAGAGGGAAGAGAATCATGGCCAAAATCTTAGCCTTATGTGTCTTTCCTACTGAATCAATCACAATTTTAGACAAGTGTACTTTAAATTTTATATCTGCATTGTACTGAAGGAGATGCAAAACAATCTGATACCTGCAGACTCCTTGCTTCCTCAGACCACCAGATTTCAAAGTCTTTTTGCAGTTTCACTTTGGCTTTTTCCATAAGAAGCTGCAAGTGTTCAATCTCTATCTTCAGCCCTTTCAAACGATTGAACATGGTTTTATAACTACAATGAAAAGAAGAAAAGAGTGCGTTTACTACAGGGAAATTCCATCTTTGGCCCAGAGGAAAAATGCTGACAGATCTCTTAACAAAGTTTTATGTTATCCAGGGCAGTTACAAACCTTGAACTTCAAAACAACTGCTAAAAGTCAAGGAGAGGCGTGAATCATCACTGATTTTATAAGAGTGTCTATGGACAGCAAATATAAGAACTCTACCCCAGTAAAGTATTTATTTTATTGAAGAACGAAGTTACTCCCATTCTAGTGGGAATGATATTGAGTCTGTTTATTTAGGCTATTCATCAATCAAATTTGTCAATTTTTTTTTTTCTGTCTGCACAGCATCATGCCATTAATAAATAAATGGTGGCCAGAATGCCTGGATTCAATTAGAGACTATGCAGAGGCTCACATTTTCTACTGACAATTCAGTAACTAGACATATTGTCTACCATTGGTTGGACATGCAATAATATGAGCTAGTCCTGAGGTCCCATCAGAGATTCTAGATACCAGGAATACTAAGAAGCAAACTGAAAAACGTAGACAATGTGATATCCTGTGTCTGAAATTTCTTTTATCTCCCTGGCCACAGTTGTGCTATGGCAGAAGGAAGGATTTTTGAAGCCATGAAGATTCCTCTGTTTTTCTTTCTAGTTGGTTCACAAATAAAGCCACTGAATCATAATGCCTGTGGGTAGGTCAATGAGGCCTGGACATTGCTCCTGAAACAGCTGAGGGGACACATAACATGTTACACCTGGATAACCACTTTGTCTTGGTGACACTCCCAGCCTCTGACAACTGAAAGATAGAAGAACCAATTTCTAACTCTGATTCTCAATATGCAAACACTATGCTATTTTTAGATTACCAGATTAGGTTTACAGTTTTCCTACTGATGCATCATGTGATCATAAAGGAAACAAGCTGACATTTTAAGTTGAAAGCTAATAGTAAACCAGAAGAATAGCTTTTATATAACAATTTGCTAGCAGAAACAAGATTAACACATTTGGGGATCATTTTACTTCAGTATTCAGAGTATCAGAGGAGGGAAATACAATACCTTTTTTTCTCATCTTCAAGTTGTGCTCGAAGTTTCTCTTCCACTGGATCAGACTTATTCAGCTCTTCAGAAGGGCTGGCAACACCTACAAGAAGTTACCAGAAGTAAGCAATAAATAGGGCAAGGATGAAAACACAAAAAAAACAACCCCATCCCTCTGCATCCCTCCCCTCCAAAAACCCCCAGATCCCAAGCTGTTTCAGAATAGCATAAGAACTACTTGATAGGTACAATAGGGAACAGCACTAGTCTTTTATCCTGATGGAGATCTGGGTTTTGAATCTGAACATGGGCCTTATCCTGACATTAGTTTCACCAGAGTAACACCATTGATTTCAGTTCAGTTATTTTGTATTTATAGCAGTGTCAGATCAGAATCAGGCCCTAAATGTAAATTAAAAATAAAATAAGTATTGATTTTCTCTTCCCAGTTCTCTGTGAATGTCTTCTTTAAGAAACAATGAAGAAAAAGGGAATGTGAGGGGATGTACGGTCCATAGAATTCCATGTAAAACCCTGAGAAAGCAATTTACCATCTTATTCTAATTCTTAACTTTGTTCATCCTTCTTCTGTTGCTGGACAGTTTTTTTAGTAATACCTATTCCCTGAAAGTTGAGAGGTACAGCTGCTTTGAATCATTTCGAAGGCACAAGTTTCCTGGATAGATTCTACATCATAGGTGTCTGTGACCAGGACAAGCCTTACAACTGAGCTAGCATATAGTATAATGATATGCAGGACAAATCAGAACAGTTGGTGGTTGACGTGGGGAAAAAAGCAGAGCTCTTCAATGAGTTCTTCGCTTCAGTATTTCTATGTACTGACCAAGCCAATTCCCCCACCTCGATCATTGATGGATGTCCACATGGCACCACTCCACCTACGGTTAGTTCTGAAATAGTGAAGGAGCTCCTGGAGGAGCTGGATGGGTACAAGTCAGCAGGGCCAGATTACCACCATCCATGGCTGCTGAAAGAATTGGCCAGTGTCATAGCTGAGCCACTGGCACAGCTGTTCGAGGACTCGTGGTGCTCCGGCCAAGTCCCTGAGGACCGGAGAAGGGCCAATGTGGTGCCCATTTTCAAGAAAGGGAGAAGGGATGAGTCGGGTAACTTTAGACCAGTCAGTCTTACCTCTGTTCCTAGGAAAATGCTAGAGAAAAGAATCAAAGAACACATTTGTGCAGGCCCAGCAGGGGAAACGATGCTGAGGGAAAACCAGCATGGGTTTGTCACAGGTAGATCTTGCCTGACAAACCTTGTAGCCTTCTATGACCAGGTCACACACTGCCTGGATGCGGAAGCCGAGGCTGATGTCATCTTCCTGGACTTTAGGAAGGCCTTCGACACAGTTTCACACCCTATCCTCATTGGGAAGCTAGCAGACTGTGGAGTGGACGCCTACACGGTCAGGTGGGTGGCCAACTGGCTTAGGGACCGCACCCAGAGAGTGGTGGTGGATGGTTCCTTCTCGGCCTGGAGGGAGGTGGGCAGTGGGGTCCCACAGAGTTCGGTTCTCAGACCAATATTATTCAATATCTTCATCAGTGATTTGGACAAGGGCGTGGAGAGCACCCTCTCCAAGTTTGCTGATGATACCAAGTTATGGGGCAAAGTTAATACACCGGAGGGCAGGGAGCAGATTCAGGCTGACCTGGACAGGTTGGATCAATGGGCAGAGAGAAATAGGATGCAATTTAATAAAGATAAATGTAAGGTACTCCACCTGGGAAGGAGGAATATATTGTAAATAGCAATCACATTGATTTGGAAGGACTTCTTTGAGGAGATTTTGCTGGAAGTTTTGAAGGGTTTTTGGCTGGAGTCTTCTCAGGAGTCTTGGTTGCAGATTTTTCTGGAGTCTTGTCTGCTTTCTTAAAGAAAGTGCCCAAGGAAGCCTGGACAAATGTTCTCCAGAGAGATGGGTGACACAGCAAACTTGTTCGCTGGTGTGGTTTGATGTCAGATCAAGTGTTGTAAAGTCGAAGCTGACATCAGAAAGTTGAAACAGGGTGTCAATTTATAAATGTTGTAAGTGCGAAATGTTGTAACTTGAAAAGTTGTAAGTTGAGGACTAGGAATAATGGGTGTAAACTAGTTGACAGTAGATTTAGGTTGGATATTAGGAAGAAATGTTTCACAGTAAGGGTGGCCAGGATCTGGAATGGGCTTCCAAGAGAGGTGGTGCTATCACCTAGCTTGGGGGTCTTCAAGAGGAGGCTAGATAGTCACCTGGCTGGGGTCATCCAACCTCGGTCCTCTTTCCTGCCAGGGGCAGGGGGTTGGACATGATGATCCATTGTGGTCCCTTCCGACTCTACACTCTATGAATCTATGAATCTATATATATATATATTATTATACTATATAATAATCTACATTATATAATTATACTATATAATAATCTACAATATATTATATATATCAATGATATATTGATAATATTGAGAGACAGCAAACCATCCTTCCCAACATAGGTTAAAAGCAGCTCAGTGATGAAGGGAAAAGTAAAGTTACATACTAAAAAAGTTACAACTATTCCAAAACCAGCTTCTATTTCTAAAATAGGGAGAATAGTTTAAGATTCCTAAGAAAACAGGTTTGACTTTGTAAACTACAGGAAAATGAAGGGAACAAAAGATATGCTGTACAATACACTTAATTTTCCACCTTAATTATTATTTTTGCCAAGAAAATAAATTATATGTCAACCTGTCATTAGGCCCAAGGAGTGTACCCTGGCTTCAAGGAATGGAATTCTGGCTGGAGCACGAGGGCAGTAATGACCCCTTTTTGCCTGTCAGCACTCCAGCTAAAACCATTAATCTTTGTTGTAGCACCCTGTAGCTTAATCAAAAATGAGATTGAAAAGTATTTAATTTCACTGAAAGTACTTAAGGTCAAGTGTGTTAATACAGATTTAAAAGCCAAGGTGAACAAAAACCACACATGCAACTCTCACTGCATGTATCTAAAGGCTGTGCTGGATAAGCAGATTACAAGGATCGAGTGGAGAAGTCTATAGTGGAGAGGGTACACTTAACACATTCAAACACAAAATGCTTTATAGTATTAAAGCAAATGACCATAGGTCATGAGATGTACAAGTCTTATGGCAGAAGAGATGTTAAAAATTAGTGGGGCTAGATACCATATTTTATTCTATACAACATGCATCTTTCCCCCAAAATTCAACTGATGGGAAATGGGATGTGCATATACGTAGGGTGACCATATGTCCCAGATTGGCTGGGACAGTCCCAGATTTTGGAGGCTGGTCTCAACCAGCTGGTGAAAATTAAAATGAACGTCCTGGGCACAGGGCATAGAAGCAGAGCAGCAACAGCTGTGAAATAGGAAGCCTTAGCAGACAGCAAAATTGTACATTAACACTAATTGTTACTTCACAGGTGATTGGTAACCCCTGTGAAGGAAAGAACAGTGAGTCATTAATGGGTCAGTGACTCACTGCCAGAGTCCCAGATTTCATATTGTCCTGTATGGTCACCCTAATTATAAACAAGGAAATATGGTAATAGTATTATCTGCCTCTGTAGGGAGGCATTGGGGTGGGGGGGGCAAGAATAATGCTGCAGTGCTGCATTCTAGCTGCTGGCTGTAGATAACCTTCTCTTTCTCTCTGGCAGAGTCTCCTGCTTCAGAAACTGCTACTCAGTTACTGCCACTTACTGGCATTGTCAAGGAAAGATCTTTTTTTCTTTATTCTACCTTTTAAAAGAAAGGCATGTATCATATTTGGGGACATGTATGTGAGAAATTACATTGCAATTACATACAATGGATAATGACAAAGCATTAATGGATGAAATCCTGAAACCATTTAAGTAAGAAGGCAAAGCTTCCAATGATTAGAGCTGGGTCAGGACCTCATCTGCAGTCTTTTTCCCCTTTACCTACCCATAGCTCCTACTGATGGCATTGGGGGTTATACAAACATATGTTTGGGATTGCTTTATAAAGTAACAGATATATGGTGAAGAAAGTGCAAAGCTACTAAACAGTCCAGAGAGCTAGAGGAGAGATAAGGACTTTGAGGCTCTAAAGGTGCAGGATGGGTGTTCCCTCTGCTCTGCCTTGTAGGAATATATAGCTTTCTTTTAGCTCCATCATCAGCCACTTCTGTTGGTAATTGTGGCATGGGCCACACTCCCCCCACTTCCTTTTTTTTTTCAAAGGAAATTTTTTTCTGTTCCAAGACAAATCAGCCAAATCAATTCCAAATCCGTGAGTCATTCAAGAACCATATGTGGCCCGACTACCAGCAAACATCTTCTACCCCCATCTGGGGCTTCAGATGCTTCCAAATCATTTGGTGGGCATCCTAAGTGCAGGCCCGAGCCCGGAGGCCTGGGGTTTGGATGCCCCTGAATTTTGCATGCCCTCAGCTGTATGGCCACAGGAGTTCCTGTTCAGATGAACAGTATTTAGGGAAAGCAGCCAAAGAGCAGCCCCGGGATCTCAGCAGCCCCTCCGGCTTAGCCGCCTTCTATGCATGTGAGTGAGAGCCAGGCAAAACCAGTCCCTACACATAAAGTTGCACATCTCGAGTGTTGTACATTGCAACTAATTGTATATTATATTCAGAAGTGGCAATAAAATCTTGGGGTTTAAACAAAGTCCTGTCTGATATGATGCCATCCACATCTGGAACCAGAAAAGCAGTTGTGCATGACATTGGCAAGGATCCATGAATGAATAAAACAGAAGCATGATCAGTTGCAAAATGGTCTCACTGATACAGTCACACCCATCAGAAAGAACTGAATAAAGCAGGGGGGCTGGACCTGATGATCTCATGAGGTCCCTTCCAGCCCCTAACATCTATGAATTTATGAACTGTAAATTAATCTCTCTCTCTCAACAGAATAACTGAACTCTGGGTCAGTCACAAAAATGACTGGGACTCAAACACATTGTACAGCAGAGGCCCAGAGCCTGCTTATCAGGCTGCTGATTTGCATACTTATGTAAACTATATTTTGGCTTCTTATCTCACTCATTCATTACACTGATGCAGTCTGTAGGTTGAAAAGCATGCTGCTTTGCAGACTATGGATTTTTTTG